TCAAAGAACCAGCTCCTAGTTTCGTTGATTTGTTCTATTGTTTTTTTGGTTTCTATTTCATTGATTTCTGCTCTGATCTTTATGATTTCTCTTCTCCTGCTGGGTTTAGGGTTTCTTTCTTGTTCTTTCTCCAGCTCCTTTAGGTGTAGGGTTAGGTTGTGTACCTGAGACCTTTCTTGTTTCTTGAGAAAGGCTTGTACCGCTATATATTTTCCTCTCAGGACTGCCTTTGTTGTGTCCCACAGATTTTGAACTGTTGTATTTTCATTATCATTTGTTTCCATGAATTTTTTCAATTCTTCTTTAATTTCCTGGTTGACCCATTCATTCTTTAGAAGGATGCTGTTTAGTCTCCATGTATTTGGGTTCTTTCCAAATTTCCTCTTGCGATTGAGTTCTAGCTTCAGAGCATTGTGGTCTGAAAATATGCAGGGAATGATCCCAATTTTTTGATAACAGTTAAGACCTGATTTAGAACCAAGGATGTGATCTATTCTGGAGAATGTTCCATGTGCACTAGAGAAGAATGTGTATTCTGTTGCTTTGGGATGAAATGTTCTGAATATATCTGTGATGTCCATCTGGTCCAGTGTGTCATTTAAGGCCTTTATTTCCTTGTTGATCTTTTGCTTGGATGATCTGTCCATTTCAGTGAGGGGAGTGTTAAAGTCCCCTACTATTATTGTATGATTGTCTATGTGTTTCTTTGATTTTGTTATTAATTGGTTTATATAGTTGGCTGCTCCCACGTTAGGGGCATAGATATTTACAATTGTTAGATCTTCTTGTTGGACAGATCCTTTGAGTATGATATAGTGTCCATCTTCATCTCTTATTATAGTCTTTGGTTTAAAATCTAAGTGGTCTGATATAAGGATTGCCACTCCTGCTTTCTTCTGATGTCCATTAGCATGGTAAATTCTTTTCCACCCCCTCACTTTAAATCTGAAAGTGTCTTCGGGTTTAAAATGAGTTTCTTGTAGGCAACATATAGATGGGTTTTGTTTTTTTATCCATTCTGATACCCTGTGTCTTTTGATTGGGGCATTTAGCCCATTAACATTCAGGGTAACTATTGAGAGATATGAATTCAGTGCCATTGTATTGCCTGTATGGTGACTGCTATTGTATATTGTTTCTGTTCCTTTCTGATCTACTACTTTTAGGCTCTCTCTTTGCTTAGAGGACCCCTTTCAATATTTCCTGTAGAGCTGGCTTGGTGTTTGCAAATTCTTTCAGTTTTTGTTTGTCCTGGAAGCTTTTAATCTCTCCTTCTATTTTCAATGATAGCCTAGCTGGATATAGTATCCTTGGCTGCATGTTTTTCTCGTTTAGTACTCTGAATATATCATGCCAGCTCTTTCTGGCCTGCCAGGTCTCTGTGGATAAGTCTGCTGCCAATCTAATATTTTTACCATTGTATGTTACAGACTTCTTCTCCCGGGCTGCTTTCAGGATTTTCTCTTTGTCACTAAGACTTGTAAATTTGACTATTAGGTGACGGGGTGTGGACCTATTCTTATTGATTTTGAGTGGGGTTCTCTGAACCTCCTGGATTTTGATGCTTGTTCCCTTTGCCATATTGGGGAAATTCTCTCCAATAATTGTCTCCAATATACCTTCTGCTCCCCTCTCTCTTTCTTCTTCTTCTGGAATCCCAATTATTCTAATGTTGTTTCGTCTTATGGTGTCACTTATCTCTCGAATTCTGCCCTCGTGGTCCAGTAGTTGTTTGTCCCTCTTTTGTTCAGCTTCCTTATTCTCTGTCATTTGGTCTTCTATATCGCTAATTCTTTCTTCTGCCTCATTTATCCTAGCAGTGAGAGCCTCCATTTTTGATTGCACCTCATTAATAGCTTTTTTTATTTCAACTTGATTAGATTTTAGTTCTTTTATTTCTCCAGAAAGGGCTTTTATATCTCCCGAGAGGGTTTCTCTAATATCTTCCATGCCTTTTTCGAGCCCAGCTAGAACCTTGAGAATCGTCATTCTGAACTCTAGATCTGACATATTACCAATGTCTGTATTGATTAGGTCCTTAGCCTTTGGTACTGCCTCTTGTTCTTTTTTTTGTGGTGAATTTTTCCGCCTTGTCATTTTGTCCAGATAAGAGTATATGAAGGAGTAAGTAAAATACTAAAAGGGTGGCAACAACCCCAGGAAAATATGCTTTAGCCAAATCAGAAGAGATCCCAAATCGTGAGGGGGGGGTGGGGGAAGGAATAAAAAGAGGTTCAGAAAGAAAAAAAAATAAAATAAAATAAAAAAGAAAAAAGAAACAAATAAAAAAAAGAAAACCAATAATGAAAAAAATATAAAAAGGAAAAAATATATATATATTGGATAAACTAGTTAAAAAACGTTAAAAAAGAAAAGGGTAATAGTTTAAAAAAATTTAGCAGAAGAAGAGAAAAAAAATTGAAAAAGAAAGAAAAAAAAAATTAAATTAACTGCAAGGCTAAAGAATCATGGGGAGAAAGCCATGAGTTCCGTGCTTTGCTTTCTCCTCCTCTGGAATTCCGCTGCTCTCCTTGGTATTGAAACCGCACTCCTTGTAAGTGAACTTGGTCCTGGCTGGGTTTCTTGTTGATCTTCTGGGGGAGGGGCCTGTTGTAGTGATTCTCAAGTGTCTTTGCCCCAGGCGGAGTCGCACCGCCCTTACCAGGGGCTGGGCTGAGTAATCCGCTCGGGTTTGCTTTCGGGAGCTTTTGTTCCCTGAGCGCTTTCCGTAGAGTCCGGAGGACGGGAAGGAAGATGGCGGCCTCCCAGTCTCCGGCCCGGAGGAGCCGAGAGCTCGGGGTCCCACTCCTCAGTGCGCCCTCAGGGAACAGCGTCCAATTACTCCCATCTGCCTGGCCTCCGGCCGCGCTCCGAGCTCACCGAGCCTGCGACCGGTTCAAGGTAAGCCCGAGCTGTGAGCTCACTCCTCGGCTCCGTCTCTGTAGCCGGCTTCCCTGTTCTAATACCTGCGAGCTCTGCGACACTCAGACACCCCGATCCTTCTGTGACCCTGCGGGACCTGAGGCCACACTGGCCCCGGGTGGGCTTCACCCCAGTTAAGCCTCTGGAGCGATGTCCCTCAGCGGAACAGACTTTTAAAAGTCCCGATTTTGTGCTCCGTTGCTCCGCCGCTTGCCGGGAGCCGGCCCCTCCCCCCGGGGTCTGTCTTCCCGTCCCTTTGGATTCACTTCTCCGCCAGTCCTACCTTTCAGCAAGTGGTTGATTTTCTGTTTCTAGAATTGCTGTTCTTCTTCTCTTCGCTCTCCCGTTGGATTTGTAGGTGTTTGCAATCTTTAGATAAGCTATCCAGCTGATCTCCCGCAACCTGAAGTAGTCTCAGCTGCTACTTCTCCGCCATCTTGACTCCTCTCCTACTTTGGTGATCTTGATCAAGGATTTTTTTACTCAAATTATTTAGGATGATTTTGCTAAAATATGTATGATTTCCTTTGGCCAGGAGACAGAAATAAATCAATTTGGTTCCTACTAAAGCAATATTTACTTGAATTAAATTTAGCAAAGTATTTCAATATTACAACATGTGTAAACTTTTCAGATATAGATTCTTTCTGGGGGAAAATGTATTTTATGCCTATTGCTTTCAAAGACAGTTAAAATATTGCAGTTAGATGTACAACAATATTGATAATACTAGACTGGGTATCACCAGATCTAAAAAGTGTCTCTGGAAGAACTCACATGTATAAGCCCTATTTTCCACACTCTTCAAATGAAAATAATGGCATTTTCCCCCTGCATTGAAATAAAAAACAAGAAAATAGTGGTTTTATTCTTTGAAAAAATATTAGCTCTGTAATTGAATATTATCAAAGTGGAGTTATGGGAACTCATGGGAAAAGGATCTATTGGGAGCCAAAATGACTAAAGAGAACTGTCATTATTGGTTTAATTCAGAGTAGAAAATCTGTTTATGGCAGCTCTATTTCTGATCAAAGAGTTAGAGATTTGAATCAAACCTACCCTGTCTTCTGTATTTCTCTTGCATTTTTCTTTGTCTTTCTCTATCTTGCAAATTGCAAAATTCATCATGAATATACAGACTGCAATTTGAAATTTCAAAATTTATTTTATCATATATGTGTGGCATCAATATTCATAAGACTGTCACAAATTGATGCATTCTTAGTTCTCTTCAAGTGACTGAAATTATGTTCACTGTAACCATTCATTATGTACAGGTTATATTTAATTTTGTTATTATTAATGTAAGGGGATGTTAATGATTGATGAAATGAAATGAACCCTATATGGGAAATTTAGAAGACTCATTTGTATGGCTCCTATATTTTTACCAATAGAAAGTTCCTCAATTGTGTAATGGAAATAATAGGTTACTGAAATGTAAATGGTGTACAAAATTAAGTTTATGAAACAGGCAATCACACAACTTCTGAAATGATTCTATAATCATTATTCTCAGAACATGCAATTCTGCCCCAAGTGTAGAGTGTACCAGGGTTTAGGAAGTTTGAACAGTGCAGCAGTAGCTGCTTCTATGAGTCAGGTGACCAAGGCAATCAATTCTGAGCTGGTTATATTATATATATACACAGAGATGTAAATTTGAAAACCCAAGCTCAGTATTATTAAATTATTGTTTATTGTTACAGAGACAACTGTCTTCATTATTTCTTGGACATTTTCCCACTTTGGAGTGCTGTTGAATTTAAAGATTAAGAAGATTTCAAAAAATCTTTCAGAAGAATTAAGATTGTACTCTATATCGTCTCTGTCTCTTTCTCTCCACACACATATACAGAAACACACACACACACACACACACACACACACACACACCCCAACATTCTGATCTCCATATTGAAAATTTCCATGAATTGACTTACAGGCAATAAACCCGAGTCACATAATGAAATGCAACTTAGTTTATGCATGGAAAATAAAACTTAGAAAATTACCATCTGTCTCCTTAAAAAAATTAACTATTTGTACTAATAGAAATATAATACTACAGTGCAATAGAGATAAAAAAGATACAGTCATCTCATAAGTAGTAAGCAAATGGGATTTAGGGTAAAGATAATACATTTTTGTTATTGTGTTTTAAGTTATTTATAATTTTATTTTCTCTAAATTTGCATTCTCTGGATTAGTCTATTTATTTCCAGATGGCATGATTAAGTTTCCAAATTTCTAAGATTCTGCTGCTATGGTTTAACTTGTTTATTTATATCAGAACAGCTGACTTCAACAGCTGGTTTTCCCTGAAATAGTTTAAGTCAATAATTTTCCATTTCAATCAATTCAGACCATCTGAATTACTATAGTAAAATAAGTCTATGGAGCATTTCAGGAGTTTTCCTAGCACTTGCAATAGAAATTTGATATTAAATTTATAGATTTTTTTTTTGCTACTATTTCTCTGAAATTTTCTAATGGATTCAAAATAATATATACATACCTGGCCACTGTAATTAACTTATTTGATAATACAGATTTAGTAATTGCTTTTCCTGTATGTAATTGTATATATCTTTGCCACTCTAATAAATTCAGATGCTCATATTTCTTTTTTTTTTTATTTTATTTATCCATTTGAGAGAGAGACAGTGAGAGAGAGTATGAGAAGGGAGAAGGTCAGAGGGAGAAGCTGACTCCCCGTGCAGCTGGGAGCCTGATGCGGGACTCGATCCCGGGACTCTGGGATCATGACCTGAGCCAAAGGCAGTCACTTAACCAACTGAGCCACCCAGGCACCCACAGATGCTCGTATTTCTTAAAAGTCAATTATAAGTTATGTTGACACATTTCTCCAGTTAAACTGTTAAAATCAATTTATAATTAAATGTGTTAGTATACTTTATTACTATAAATATTAAATGATTTGATACACTCAAAATTCACAAACACACAAAGAAAGGAAGTGAAATGGGATGTAGCATGGATAATTATAAAAATTCAGACATGAATTCACATAGCCAGGGTTTGATTTTCCACTCTACCTATTTGCTTTGACCTCAGGCCAGTAACCTTTCTTTTCTCAATTCTTTCAACTCTAAATTACTCTGAAAGTAAATTAGAGATCAATAATTCTTAAACAAATACAGAACTTATGTTTGGAAACAAAAAAGAAAAATATACTTCTAAATACATTTTAGGGGTGACTGGGTGGCTCAGTTGGTTGAACATCTGACTCTTGATTTTGGCTGTGGTCTCAGGGTGGTGGGATCCAGTTGCATTCTGGGCTCCAAGCTCTGAGGGGAGTCTGCTTGAGATTCTTTCTCTCCCTCTCCCTCTATCCCTCCCCCCACTGCTCAGGCTCTCCCTCTCTAAAATAAACAAATAAATAAAATCTTTGAATATATTTTAGGGGCACCTCCGTGGCTGGTAATGATCCCAGGATCCTGGGATCGAACCCCACATCAGGCTCTCCGCTCAGTGGGGAGCCTGCTTCTCCCTCTCCCCCTCCCCCTGCCCATGCTCTCTCTCTCTCTCACTCACTGTCTCCCTCTAATAAATAAAGAAAACCTTTAAAAGGAAAAAGGAAAATGTAATAAATGAATAGGCAGCTCACATTTATGGAAAAATGAATGAATAAATGAATAGATATCTCATGTTTATTTATAGGAAGATAACAATATGATAAGGTCAATTATACTGACATCAGTATATAAAAACAATGTATTTCTAACCAAAATTCCCCACCTTATTTTTAATCCCTTTGATCTGAGAAAATAAATTAATATTAAAATGTGTATTAAAAAGAAAAGGCCAAAAACAAAAATGTCAACTTTGAAGAAGAAAAAAATGTAAATTCCACATATTAAGTTCCTTTAAATATCAAGGCTTATTATAGAATAACATATTGTGGTATTGGTAAAAATCATCCAATGACAAAAATAAAACTCCAGGCAAGATTAGAATCAGATATTGGATGGGATGGAAAAATAAAAAGTAGACAAAGATGATACTTCTGTAAATAGATCCAGTAACTGACACACATATGGGAAAACATAAATACAAATCCCTACCACTCACACACAAAAATTCCATGTCAATTAAATAACTAATTTTAATACAAATATTTGAAACTTAAGAGAGAGAGAAGTTCCTTTATGAAATTATACATGAGACATTTCTTTAAAATGTTCCAAAAATCATGAAACATAAAAAGATTAGTTAAATTATATTAATGTTAAAAAAAAGTCACAATAGAAATTGTAGTGGAAGGAATTTTAATGTCACATAATTGTATATTGGCTGCATCCCATAAGGCAAATAGTTATTAAAAATCTGAGAAAATAAGAGCAAAAGAGATAAACAGTGAATACAATGAAAAGGAAGTCCTAATGAGGAATATAAAATTAAAAAATGAAAAAAGTCAGTATGACTAATAATGAAAGAAATGCCAACTGAAAGCAGTAAGATAAAGCAATTCATACTCTATAGATGAATAAAACAACTGACAGCACCAAGTGTTGTCAAGAATATTCAACATCAAAAAATAAAAAGAATATTCAACAACATAAAATATATCATATACTCCATGTGTCATACAGACCCTAAAGTTGCTCCAGTGATCCCAGTCCCCTAGCATTTCTCTTCCATATAATCCCCTGAGTATGAGCGAGACCAGTAACTTCCTTCTAATCTATAGAATATAGAGAGGTCAAGAAGTATTGCAGCTGTAATTAAGGTTTGTTACTGCTTGTTTTTGAGTTAATGAAAAGAAAATATCTTGAATTGGCCTGCCTTAGTGAATTGACTGTCCCTAGGAGCTTGGCCTTCTCTGAAGTCAAAGATTCCAAGCACTGTGTAGTTTTATTGAAGTAAGCATTCACCTTGGAGAAGCCTTCGTGATAGGAACTATTGGCAGCTCTTAGGAAATGTAGGTGATCTCTAGAACAACAGAAGAACTTCTGGCTAACATCCAGGTGGGGGAGAAACAGGGCCCCCTATGATACAGGTGCAAGAAAATGAATTTTGCTAGCAAGGAGCTTGAAATTAGATTTTTCTTCAGTTGACTCACCAGAATGGAAATTCAGTTCAGCCAACACCTTGATGGAAGACTTGGAAGACCCTAACAGAAGATCCAATTAAGCCAGGCCCAAATTTCTGAATGCAAAACTTGTGAGATAATAAACATATTTTGTTTCAAGTTACCAAGTTTGTAGTGATTTGTTACACAGCAATAGAAAACTGATATAACCACTTTCATAAAAATTGACGACATTTAGTGAAATTGGATTTGTCACAATCTACAACTCACCGCATATTTATGTTTCTCATTTATTCCCTGTCTGCCAACTAGAGCATAATAATGATGAAGACTGAGAGCATTTTTACTTTTTTGTTCATCTTTTGTAACTATGCTGAGCGGGCCCTTCTCTGAGTCCCATGCCTTAGGGTCTGGGTATGTCCCAGCTCTCTTTGCAATACTATAGACAGAAACAGAACCACCAGGAGTTTGAGAATCCTAAATTCAAATCTTGTCTACCTGGACTTTAAGATCTGACAAGTCAGAAGAGACAGCATATTAGTAATTTGTTACACTGATGTAGCACACTCTAAAGATGCAGACAAGTGGCACATACACCCTCCATTTGTACCCGTCACCTGGGCTACATATGTCTCAGCAATGGACTTGTTCACATGTTCTGCATGTGGCAGACACTGCCAGTGATCTGCCCAATGCCCATTTTCCCTCGTCATTCTTAGAAAGATCATGCTGACAGAGGCTTTTATCCCGTAGATGGATACACCTAAAATAGATGGGAGGGCATGAACATCAGTGAATGATGACTCCATTCATGGAGACAGGGAAACTTGGAGGAGGATCCAGTTTAGAGCGATGTTAAAAGATAAATTTTTGAAATATTAGGTTTGAAGGGTATCAGTTTTCTACTGCTGCCATAACAAATTACCACAAACCTGAGTTAAAGCAATACAATTTTATCATCTTATAGTTGTTGTAGGTCAGAAGTCTGGTATGGGCTTTCCTAG